ACCCTGGAAGCTGCAGGCAGAAACGTGGGAGGGCAAGTACTGAGTCTTTTCTCAAAGCCCAGGGGCTCTTGGGGCTAAGGTCTTTAGTGCTCCATGCCTGACTTTCCTTCTCCATAATCGGGGATAGTTCCTTCCCTGTTGGGGGATGGTGGCGGCAGGCCGAGGGGGAGGTGTGAACATGCAGAGCCTTACAACTGCTGGGTCCTGTAGCAGTTGCAAGGTCACAGGGCCACTGAGAGGCTGGGTGGGGAGCAGTCTCTTGGACTACAGTTTCCTACCCAGGCTCAAGTTGCTGCCGATGAGGAAAGAAAGCCACTCAAAAGAAGCCAGTAGAGGAAAGGCCGGAAGCAGCATTTGGGGTGGCAAGAAACAGGAATCAACAGGATCTGAAAGGACAGGAAAGCCACGAGGAGGAAGCCTGGAACCTCGGGTTTGGAAGGGGCCCCTTTAGAAAGTCTGCAGAGGGGTTGCCCAGCGTGATGGCTTCTGCTGGCAGCAAGCTCACACCTTCCATCTCTGACCCTGCCCATTTGAAGTGGTTTTTCAGGCTGGGTGTGGTGGCTCACACCTGTACTTCCAGCACTTTGGGAGGCTGAGACCAGTGGATCACTTGAGCCTAGGAGTTAAACACCAGCCTGGGCAACATGGTGAAACCCTGTCTCTACAAAAAAAACCACACACACAAAAATTGTCCAGGCATGGTGGCACATGCCTGTAGTCCCAGCTTCTCAGGAGGCCGAGGTCAGAGGGTCGATTGAGCCTGGGAGGTCAAGGCTGCAGTGAGCTATGATTGCATCAGTGTAGTCTGGTCAACAGAGTAAGACCCTACCTCAAAAAAAAAAAAAAAAAAAAGAAAAAAAAGAAATAGTTTATTATATTGAGCTGAAATCCTTCTGAGATCTTCCCCTGAGACCATGTGGGTCCTGTCTGACCCTGGGAACAAGGTGCCTGTCACGTCTATGAAGAGAGTGACCCCTGATGTCTTCTCATCCCCAGCACTGTCCTTGTTTTGTGTTCATCCTCGTGCTTCTCTCCTGATAGTGTGCATTTGTCTCTAGTTGAAGATTTGGCGTCTAGAATGGAGCAGAAAGTTCCACGTGGGGTGGGCAGGTTCAGCCTGCTCTCATTCCAATGCTAGTGGAGCTCGTCTCAGAGACTGGCCCCAAGGCCATCAGCTTTCCAGTCTCCAAGACAAAACCCTCCAGAGAAGCCACAGCCTGGTTGTCCAGGCCAGGAGAGAGGCCCTCTGGTCCCTCACGCTGGTTGCTGCTCTCTGGACTTGGCCCGAGGGCCCCTTGGTCATTTATGAGTCCCCAGGGCTTAGTACAGAGCCTGGCACACCAGCTGTGGTGGATAGTTAGGGAGGTTAGAGTCATTCTGTGTGGGGGGTCTGGTACTGGACCTGTCCGAGGCCTCTCCAGGGGTCTGGTACTGGAGCCGTGGTGGAGGGGGGCGGTGGGCAGTGAGCTTGCTGGCCAGGCACCTCCCTCCAGCCCCATCTCAACTTCTCCGCTCTTCTTATATCCAGGGCATGCGTCTTTGTGTTTGTTTCCAGGGGGTGTGTTGAGTTTTCCATTTTAAACACCTTTGCTGGGATGTTGGAGGTGGCTTTCTCAGAGGGTGACTCATGTGTCCAGATGGTCAGTGGGGCTGAGTTTGGACTGGTTGCATCACGTCTGAGGAGATTCTGTCTCCTCTTACTTCTCTGAGTATTAGGGAGTCCATTATCGACTCACTAATGATTCTTGAAAGGAAACTGTCAGCAAATTGGTATTTTACAGACTGGCTGGCCCCAGAGCACCTGCAAAAGGTCAAGAATCTTGAACTAAGAGGGACAATGACATTTGATGATTCTGATCAGTTTTGTGCAGAGCTGGTTACAGACGGACGTTGGCCACGTAATTCAAAAGTGTACTGACTGCTGACATGTGTTTTGATGCAGGAAAGGACATGAGCCCAGGCGCCAGGCCTTTCTCGGGAGTGGCCTGTAGGGATGGGCTCTCCTTGGAGGGAGCTTCTGGGCCTGCAGGCAGCAGATAGACAGTAATGGTCGTGACAGCCCACACCCAGTGCGGCGAGCCCGGACACACTTCTGAGCACCTTCATGCTCATACCCCACAGCCACCTGCCAAGTTGGTGTTCCTGTGATCCCCTTTGATAGATGAGGAAACTGAATTCAGAGGCTCACTCACATCACATGCCTCTGCTGTATGTGTGTGAAGGGTGAAGGGGCAGTCACAACAAGGCTTGGTTGGTGCTGGGGACTGTATACTCGTGGGTGCCACCTGGAGATGGGAGCTCTTAATGGATTAGGGCAGGCGTCTCCAAACTTTTTACACAGGGGGCCAGTTCACTGTCCCTCAGACCGTTGGAGGGCCGCCACATACTGTGCTCCTCTCACTGACCACCAGTGAAAGAGGTGCCCCTTCCTGAAGTGCGGCAGGGGGCTGCATGAGGCCCGCGGGCCATAGTTTGGGGATGCCTGGATTAGGGTAACCATGAGTGGTGTAAAATGCTGCAAATGCATTCCTTTCCAAATTGCTGAAGGCCAGCTTTGCCTAAAACACATCGCCAGGGCCTTCCACGCTCCAGTTCAGTCAGTGAAACATTTGTGGTGTGCCCTGGGTGTGCCATGAGTGGCACCTGTGTCCTGAGAAAGGAGAGAGAGGGAGGCCAGTTGTCATTATGACACAAGGCGGGAATCACTGGGAAGTGTCTGCAAATCAGGTTCCGTGGGTAGGAGGCACTCGCCTCCACGGTAGTCACTGGGACCTCTCACACTGGGTGCTGTCCCAGCTGGGGTTGATGGATCCTGGGAGTACAGCAGGAAGGGCGCTGTGGCCTGTGGGATCTGGGAGTGCACAGCAGCACTGAGGGGTGGGGACTCTGCTCTGGGGAAAAGTGCAGCATCAGTGCCGCTCAGGAGTGATGGGAGCATGGACAGGGACCAGGTCACCCATTGAAAGACCAAGTGCCAAGCTGGATGGTACCAGCGAGCCTTAGAGAACTCTATGCTGCAGGGGCTGGCGGGATCGGATGAGAAGGAGCCCTCTGGCTGCAGGGCTGCCATGGCTGCCTTGACCTGTTCCCCTGACACTGTTCTGCCCCTCCCCTTGGCCTTATGCCTTTGCTGGATGCCCATCCTCACTCCCATGTCCTCACCCTGGCTCTTCCTCCTCTGCTGTTTCCTTTTGGATGCCCTCTGCCGTGCCCCTCTCCCTCCTCCTCTTTGTACTCTCTCCTCTCCCTCCTGGCATATCCATTCGCCTCTAGCGCCCTGTACGCAGCAGCCTTTGTTTTGCTGACCCAGCAGAAACCCCCGATCCGAAGACCCGTTACAGCAGGTTGCTGTATTTATAGCCTCAACATTTACAGCAGACTTGCTGTGCCATCACTCCCTGTGGCAAATTTTGGGTCTTTGTGGAGATGTTGAGCTGAGTCCCAGTGTAGGATGAGCAGCCCGAGCTTCCCGAGGCATTCACACTGTGTTCTGTGCACTCCTGTGTGCTTTGTTGTAGCTCCTGGTGCTGTGCATATTCCAGATACTGCTACAGGCTGTTGGCTGGATGAAGCTTCTGCTCTCTCATTCCTACTTGGAATTTCTCCCAAGATTTTTGTAGACTGTTTTGTTGTTATAAAGTTGTGATTTGTAACACACAAGTATGTAAGACAAACATTTATTTATAAATACATCAGAGATGAAGTCTCGCTCTCTTGCCCAGGCTGGAGTGCAGTGGCTATTCGGAGGTGCAATCCCAATCTGGAGTTTTCACTTGCTCTGTTTCCAACCCGGGCTGGTTCACCCCTCCTTGGGCAACCTTGCGACCCCCCACTCTCAGGAGGTCACCCTACTGCTGCCAGACCCAGTGCAGACACCAGATCGACGTGGCACATTACACCCAGAACTTCCAGGCTCAAGCCGTCCTCCTGCCTCTTCCTCCTGAGTAGCTGGGACCACAGGCACGTGCCACTGCTCCCGGAAAAACTAATAAAGCCAATACCGTTTCACCCCAGGTCTACACTGCCTGCCCTCCCAAACCTCCTGGGTGCCCACCCTTATCTCAGCCTCCTCCAGCCTCCCCACATAACCCTGAATTCATGGCAGCCCTTCCTTGCCTGTCTGTATAGTGTTATACCAGTATAGAGGTACATTCCTGGATAAGATAATTTAGGCATGCCGGGTTTTTAACTTAGGAGTGGAAGATCAGCTGTGCTTGTTCTTTTTTTTTTTTTTTTTTTTTAAGATGGAGTCTTACTTGCTGCTCAGGCTAAAGTGCAGTGGTGCGATCTCGGCTCACTGCAACCTCCACCTCACGGGTTCGAGCAGTTCTCCTGTCTCAGCCTCCCGAGTAGCTGGGATTACAGGCGGTTAATTTTTGTTTTTTTTTTTTTTTTTTTTTTTTTTTGAGACGGAGTTTCGCTCTTGTTACCCAGGCTGGAGTGCAGTGGTGTGATCTTGGCTCACCGCAACCTCCGCCTCCTGGGTTCAGGCATTTCTCCTGCATCAGCCTCCTGAGTAGCTGCGATTACAGGCATGCGCCACCATGCCCAGCTAATTTTTTTTTTTGTATTTTTAGTAGAGACAAGGTTTTACCATGTTGACCAGGATGGTCTCGATCTCTTGACCTCGTGATCCACGCGCCTCGGCCTCCCAAAGTGCTGGGATTACAGGCTTGAGCCAACGCGCCCAGCCTAATTTTTGTATTTTTAGTAGAGACGGGGTTTCACCATTTTGGCCAGGCTGGTCTTGAACTCTTGACCGTGTGATCCACCCACCTTGGCCTCCCAAAGTGCTGGGATTACAGGCATGAGCCACCGTGCCTGACCATTGCTGTGTGTGTTCTTGACAGGCTTCTTTTACACAACCCTGTGTCCCCCAGGCTCTTCCCTGTTGCCACGTGTAGCTGTGGCTCTTTCACCTCCATTGCTGTTTAGAATCCCGGCATCTGTGGACCCATTCTGCTGATTTGACTGGTTTCCCCTGGACACTCTTTTCGCAGCCTTGGTCATCTATAATTTCCTGAGCCTGTGCTATGAGTACCTAGGAGGAGAAAGTGCCATCATGTCGGAGATCAGAGGAAAACCCATTGAGTGAGTATGGAGTCTTTCCGGAGCCCTCAACCACCCCGTTTTCTGGGCCTGGATTACCTTGAGCTGTCCTGGCACCAGCTGGACACAGACCATCTCCGCCCATGACCTTGACATGCTGTGCCTCGCCACATTTCCTGAGCAGCGCCATTCTTTTGGGCTCTCAGGAGTTCCCCAGCGGCTCATTCTCTCGCTCTCTTCCTGTCTTGGTCTTAGCGCTTTCCTGCGTGTTTCTTCCTCCTGCAGGTTTGACATTCAGAGCTCTCCAAGTTGGTTTGTCACCCCAGGGCCAGAGCGGCCGTGTGTCCCTCTGCCTACGGCATGTGCAGGTGCTCTGCCATGCCTCTCCTTGTGCTTGGCCTTGGGCTCAAAGGCTGCCCGGGATCTGTGCCCCAGCTCAGCTGGATGCGTGGGAGGGCGGCCTTCCCCACCTCACCATTCCCAAGTTCTTGCTCTTCACTCACCGCTGCCTCCTCTCCTGTGCTTGTCTCTTCCAGGTCCAGCTGTGTGTATGGCACCTGCTGCCTCTGGGGAAAGACATATTCCATCGGATTTCTGCGTTTCTGCAAACAGGTGTGTGTCCCCAGCAGCTGCCTAGGTCAAGAGGAGCAGAGTGAGGACTGGGAGGCCCTACCATGGGCTGCCCTTGGCCCCACCTGTGGAGGTCCCCTTTCCTATGAGGCACCCCAGGCCCCCAGTACCCACCCCCCAAGCTATTAGGAAAGCACCACATTAGCAGGGTATGCTTGGAGGGGCAGCAGCTGGCATCCTGGGAGTGTCTGGTGTACTTTGGGCAGGAGCTGATCCTAGACCCTTGCTCATGTAACCAGGTCTTGGTGTGTGTGAGAATCAGAAGTGCACAGGGTTTCTAGATTCTCCGTCTGAAAATTTCTCATCAGCTGCAGCTAGGGGGCAGGAGGGTTTTGGCATTAAAGACACGACAGAACAGGCCTCTCCCTGCGTTTCCCGGTTGGCAGTGCAGCCGCTCTAGCTTCCTGGGCTGCCCTCCCTGTGGCCTAGAGTAGCCTGGGTGGAGGCAGTGTGGTGGGGTCGCCGAGTGTGTAGGCCTAGGTGTCTGACCATCTGAGCCTGATTCCCAGCTTCTTCTCTGACTGTGTGACCTTGGATAATTGGCTTACCCTCTCTGAGCTTTTGTTTCCTCCTCTGTAAAACGAGTGTAATGATACTCCTCCCAAGAGATGGTTGTGAGAATCAGATGAGGTAATGGATGTAGTGCCTTCAGCCTGGCGTGGTGGAGCCACAGCCTCCTGTTGAGGGAGGCAGAGTCTGAGGGGCTCGCCCACCCTTCATGACCTTGTTAGTCTTCTCTGGGGCTCTGCAGGGGCTCTGTCATGTCAGCCCCTCCAGCTTTGCCAAGAGTAGTCACAAAAGGACACAAAACCATAGCCAAGTCACTGTGGCCCTGGAGGGCAGAGCCTGCTGCTCCCTTCTGTGCAGGGTCCAGGCCACAGGGCGGGCACACCCACAAAGCCTCTACTGGCACATGCCAAGTCTCCAGTTCTGCTTCCAGACCTTCTCCCCTAGCATGTTCCTAAATTCAGAATCTCACCACTGGACCTGCAGGGAAATAGTTAAAACTATCCTGGGTTCAGGGTGGGGCATGGAGAGCCCTTGTTTACCAGTTGGTGCAGCCACCCAGGTTCCGGCCAGCTGTGACTCACTGCCTTGTTTGAGGATTGTATTGTCTACAAAGTTTTGCTTTCATGATTGCTAGCTAGTGTGGCCTTGTTAGAAATGATTCCCCAGCCCTGTGGGCTCAGATGTTCTGCTATTGTTCCTGGAGATGGCAGGGAGAGGTAGAAGAAAGAGAACAAAAGAGGCCTCTTTCTTTATACCAGGCCGAGAGAACACACCCCACAGCTTTGTCCTGGGGGCGCAGAGACAAGCCTCCGACTCCTCAGGGCCAGCACTGAATATCCAGATCTGGAGAGATTCCTACTTTAAGTAGAGATTCCCAGATCAACTATCCCCTACCCCAGCCCACAGAAGGTCTGGAATGGAGCCCTGGAACGTGGCACGTGTCTACAGCTCCCCTGGTGGTTCTGATGTCCAGCCCAGCCTGGAAACTGCTGACTGGTCCAGGGTGTGGTCAGGTGATGATTCTGGGGCCTACTGGCCTGGGCTCTGCTTCTGCTTTTCTGTGCCTCAGTTTCTTCATCTGCATCCTAGGGATAATGATAGCACCCATGTCAAGGGGCTGTCGTGAGTACCAGGTGAGCTGACCCAGGGAAGCACCAGCCTGTTGCCAGGCTCATAACAAACTGCCGCACTTCCCAGAGTGTGCCAGCCCCACTTCCTCTGGGCGGGATGACAGGGCCGGGGACGCTCTGTGGGGCTTTCTGAGAGTGGGACTACATGTCTGCCTCATCACACATGCCTCTCCATGTGACAGCTCCATGTGTGGGCTGTCTGGGGCTCCCGTTCAAGCTCCGCTCAGATCCCTGGTTGGGGCAGAAGCTGCAGGTTCCACAGGCCGCAGTTTCTGCTCCAGGCTCCCTGTCCTCTTTGCAGCTACACCAGCTGAGCCTCGGACTGGATTTAACCACCCCCCTAGCTCCTCAGAAGGGGGCCTTAGGGCTTAGATTTATTTGCTTTCAAGGTAATGGTGATACTAGTGACGTTGTGGGAACTATGGGTACCCCCTGAGTTTATTGGGGACTCTGTAGAGAATCGGGAAAAGCTGGCTAAGGATTTCTTTCGTTAGCTCAGCCAGCTAGTAGGTGGCGTTAATGCCTGCACAGAGGTGGGAGACTCCCAAGAAGACTGTGCTTTCTGGCTCTGCCATCCCTGAAGCAGTGGCCCTGTGGTGTGGGGAGTGACTATGTCCTTTTCAGCAGGAAGTCTGTGCTCGAAGGCCAAGTGACTGCCCAAACTGTCCCTGGAATTCAAACTCAGATTTCTAGGCTCTGGAGTCCACATGCACTGGGCTCCTGTAGGTTGCTCTGCTCACCATAAACCATGGACCCAGGCCCAGAGAGTGGGGCCAGGAACCAGACAGGGTGGGCATGGAGGACGGGAGGAGGCCCTCACCCATGCCTGTTGCCTGGTGGCTGGTTCCTTGAACAGGGTCCCGGCCTTGCCCTGGGCACCAGGGTCTCTAGGACTTGGCGCTGCCCATCTCCTCGGCCCCCTGTCTAGTGCGCAGCCCCTTGCCCTTGTCCACCCTCTGCCTTGGGGCCTTTATGGGAGCTGCTCCCTCTGCCTGTTGAGCCTCTCATCTCCAGCACCCTTCTGATGGTCCTGGCTGGAGAAGCGTCCTTGTGTGTGCCTCCTGTCCCCTACCTCCATCATGCCCTGCTGCACCGTTGCTTCCTTCCTCCACGCGCTCATCTTCTCAGACACGGCATTGTGCTGCGGGCATCTCCTGTATGTTCTGCCCCCGCCCCGCGCAGACAGCAGTCCCCTGGGAGCAGGACATGGAGCCATCCTGTCTGTCCCCTCCATCTCTATCCTTCCATCCCCTCCGTCCCTCCGTCCTCTCCGTCCGGTTTGTCCCCTGTCCCTCCATCCCTCTAGTCCCTCGGTCCCCTCTGTCCCTGCATCCAGCACAGTTCTGGCTGCCAGAGGCAGGGCTTTCTTCTTGTCTTCTGCACTCCTCCTCCACACTGAACCTCCTTTTGCCCTGACAGGCCACCCTGCAGTTCTGTGTGGTGAAGCCACTCATGGCGGTCAGCACAGTGGTCCTCCAGGCCTTCGGCAAGTACCGGGATGGGGACTTTGAGTAAGCAGCGGGTGCTCCCCGGGGTGTGTGGGAGGGGAGTTGGCACAGGCGAGTGTCTTGGCTCAGGGAACGGGGTGGTCAGAGTAGCTGCACAGCCGTGACCTGCCTGGGTGCTTGGTGCTCATGCCCCCTGCACTCCGAGCCTGGCAGTGGACACCCTTGCACTTGGGCCCATGGCTGGCCCAGGAGTAAGCCACTGGCAGTATTCAGATTCATGTCCAGGCTGCAGAGTGGTGCCACAAAGGGATGGGCCACAAAGGGACAGTGACCACTGCTGAGGCAGGGAGCAAGAGGGTCAGAGCCCCAGAGGGCGACTCAAGTCCACAGGCACAAAGCCCCTGCTGTGTAAATCGTCCACGTGCATTTCATCCTGGGCTTAGTGTAAGTGACCATGTGGCAGTGAAAAGGCAGCAGAGCTGAGCAGTGTCACCTACTTTGACACCTGTTATATCTGTATGACTGTCAGACTGTGGCCTCCTGCCCGGCCCTGGCTTCCACACTGGTGTCTGGCATTAGGAGTGTGGGCACTAGGGCTTAGACAAGTCCATGGGCCACACAGAGGCAGCAGAGCTGGCCTGGCCTATGGGCACGTCCTGTACACCCCCACCCTGCCTGTCGCTTTGATCACCCCCTCCGACCCCTGCAGTGACTCCGTGAGCTCTGCTGGAGGTATGGAACTTAGTACCGTGGGGATGGTGCGCGGTGCAGTCGAGGAGAGCCCCTTCCCTCCAAGGGTCTGTCCCAGCCAGAAAATGCTCCCCGTCCCACAGCGTCACCAGTGGCTACCTCTACGTGACCATCATCTACAACATCTCCGTCAGCCTGGCCCTCTACGCCCTCTTCCTCTTCTACTTCGCCACCCGGGAGCTGCTCAGCCCCTACAGCCCTGTCCTCAAGTTCTTCATGGTCAAGTCCGTCATCTTTCTCTCCTTCTGGCAAGGTGAGCCTCCCAGTGTCTCAAGGCTGCCTGTGCCGCCCTGTCCTCCGTGCTTCCTGCTGCCCCTTCTCCTCATGGTCCCTGGTGCCCGTGGGGCCTTTTCAGAGGGGTCTCAGCCCACTGGGCACTTGCTGGGGGTGAAATCTGAGCCCTCGAGGGCCTTTCCCAGGGCTAGGGGGAGCTTTGGTGCCCTGGGAGCTTCGGCGGGACCACTACATGGATGGGAGGACCCGGGGGACCCTGTGTAATCGCTGACATCTCAGTTTTGGTGGCCGGCAAAGTGCCGGGAGAGTGGGGTTTCTGGAGACTGTGGCCTTGTGTCGCCACCTCTGCGCTACAGGAGCAGCTGTGGCCCTGCGCCCATCCTCACTGGGGTGTGTGGGCAGCTGGGTGGGGCACTGTGGAAGAAAGGGGCCAGTCTGGGTCCAGACACCCATGCTTCCCCATCTAGGCATGCTCCTGGCCATCCTGGAGAAGTGTGGGGCCATCCCCAAAATCCACTCGGCCCGTGTGTCGGTGGGCGAGGGCACCGTGGCTGCTGGCTACCAAGACTTCATCATCTGTGTGGAGATGTTCTTTGCGGCCCTGGCCCTGCGGCATGCCTTCACCTACAAGGTCTATGCTGACAAGAGGCTGGACGCACAAGGTACGAGCCAGGGTCTTGGGAGACCCCCACGGGGAGGAGCGGGGAGCCTCAAAGAGTCCCAGGGTTCTCCCGCCTCCAAGCATCCTGCAGGTGTGGCTGCGTCAGGACAGGGGATCCCCACTCCATAGACAGGAATGAGGCCATAGAGGTCAGGGAGGAGCAGGTGCCACCAGCACTACCAATTCGATCCTGGATGCTCAGGCCACCTGCCTCCTCTAGCAGGTCCAAGTGTGGAGACTGAGGGATGATACAGAGACGGTAATGAATAGACAGATTCCTCTGGCTTCTGATAACCAGCACTGTGGGTGCTTACCATTTTGTCCTGTTAATTCCCTCATCTCTGAATACTTTAAAAAAAAAAAAAAGATTACTTCTAAGAAACAGAGTCAGTTGGTAGTAGGTTTTTGTTTTTTTTGTTTTGTTTGAGACAGAGTTTCGCTCTCATTACCCAGGCTGGAGTGCAATGGCGTGATCTCAGCTCACTGCAACCTCCGCCTCCTGGGCTCAGGCAATTCTCCTGCCTCAGTCTCCTGAGTAGCTGGGATTACAGGGACGTGCCACCACGCCCAGCTAGTTTTTTGTATTTTTAGTAGAGACGGGGTTTCACCATGTTGACCAGGATGGTCTCGATCTCTCGACCTCGTGATCCACCCGCCTCGGCCTCCCAAAGTGCTGGGATTACAGGCTTGAGCCACCGCGCCTGGCCTGGTAGTAGGTTTTAACAGCTCTCTTTTACACCTGCGAGTCTCCCTCCTTGCTAGAACAGTGATAAGTAGCCCCAGTTGTGCTGGGAAATGCCCTGGAGAGCTTTTGAAAGGGCTGATACCCAGCCCCACCCTGGGAGAGTCTGCTGTAATGGGTCTGGGCTGGCAGGCTGGGTGTGCTGTGAGAGCTCTGTGCTTTAAGCGCTCCCAGGATGATGAGAATGCGCTGCTGCCAGGATGCAGTGGGCCAGAAGAGCTGCCTGTGGCTGCCAGGCAGAGGGACTTATCCTTGGAGGATGAGGAGGAGGCTGGGAATGCCTAAGACTGACCGAGCCAGCGAGGGGGCCAGAGGGACTGGGGAGAGGGGAGCTTCCTTCCCTGACACATCCACCCAGAAGGCTTTCTGCTGCCAGCTGTCTGCCCAAGTGGCTGGAGGCAAGAAACCCACTTCCCCAGGGCCTACCCGCAGGCCCCACACAGGCCCCGTGTGGATGGTGTGGAGGGTACAAATGTCTGCCTGAAGCAGGGCTCCGTGGTCCACTTCTCGCCCTGCTTCCTCTGCCTTCCCTGGTTGGGGAAGACCTACCTTGTGGCCAGAGAGGAGGTACACAAAGGCCGGGGCCTGTCAGCTGATGGCCCAGGTGAAAGGATGTAGCAAACACCCACCAGCATTGAGGGCAATGTACCCTTGGACCTGGTCTGGCATACCCAGTGCCCATGGGACCATCATCCTTGGGCCCGGGGCCACCCCAGGGAGCAAGGGGCCATGGCAGAGAACCATTCCTCCACTGCTGGGGCTCGGCAGAGGGTCTCTGCTGCCCCACCTGAGCTGTCCCTCCACACACTGCCTCCCAGCCACACCCGCACCCTGGCAGGGAAGCTGTTCTCCCTCTCCTGCCTCCCTCCTGCTCCTGGGCCCCCTGCTACCCTCTAACCCGGCCTAGACCCTCAGCCTCAGGATAGGCTTGGGTGCAGAGCTGGCTCAGCTGTGCCGTCAGCACAAGTAACCCTCCCTCCAAGCCTCCATGTCCTGGTCTGGGAAGTGTTGTGAGGTTTGTAAAGTGTGGGGTGTGGATGTGGCCCCAGGCTAGCCTGGGAAGAAGTGGGGATGGGATGTCCTGACCTAGACGTGGAGGCAGCCACCAAGCCACCAAGCGGATGTTTCCTCTTGACGTGAATACCAGGGGAGGAGTCATCCCTGGGTAGATATACCCCCCGCCAGGCCCCGGAGGCACCTGGAGCTTCCTGGGTGTCTTGGGGAGTCTGGGGTTGGGGACAGGGTGTGTGGTGTGTCGTGCTGGTGGGCCTTGGTGGTGGGCACATGTTCACTCAGCTGTCTCTTTGTCTTCTTTGGCTTCTCTCCCTGTCCCCCTTGCCCTGCTTTTGCCCGGGGTTTGGCCATGGGCAGTGCCAACATACGGCCCTTACGGTAGGTCGCGCTCTTGGTCTGCATGTCTGTCCTGCATGTCAGTTCTGGTCACTGTCACTGGCACACCTCTCTCTGTAGCTCTTTCTCTGTGTCCTCCTCTCCACCAGCACCCCTGGGTGGGAGCACCCAGGGCCATCCTCTGTAGAGCTTGCCTGCTTCCATCCTGGTCTCTCTTGCTGGAACATGCCCCGCCCTATTCTGGGGGCACTGTGCTGGTTCACGGGATATAGGGGCATTTCACAATGTTTCCAAGGGCTCACAAGCTGAGTCAGGAATCCTGGGTTCCAGAGTTGGGCTCATCCCTTACATCTAGGTTTTGCGGCCTGGGCCACTTTTCCCATCGGAGCTGGTGGGACAGGGAGGATACATGAGAGAAGATGAGGAGGAAACCCTCTTAGAGGGAGCCAGTGAGTCACATCTGCTCCCCTGGGGGTGCAGGCCAGCCTGGTCCTGATGGGGCCAGCCCCTGACCCACTCCCCAGAGTGGAAGGAGCACAGCACTGCCCAGGTGGAGGGGGACTCACCTGGCACCTGTGGAACTGGGTACCCCTGGCTTCCAGGCCCTAGGCCCTCTGGCCCCACACGCCTTGACTTGTTGGTGCTGAGCCTGCCCTGGCCTCTCTGGGGCATTCCAGGCTCACTGCCCACAGCTTGCCAGTCTCCTGCCCGGGTCCCTGCTCCTAGCCTAGCCGGCCCAGCTCCCAGTGGGGGTTTATGTCTGCTCCTCTTCATACCTGAGCTCCCCTGGGGGCTCCCCAGCCAAAGGAGTCTATTTTTTCCCTGCCCCTTCTCATATCGTGGACCCCATTCTCCATCCCAGAAGGGGTGTTTGAAGGCCGCAGCTTTGGGTTAGGGGGTTCTATCCCAGGATCCCCGGCAGGGGCTGAGCCACCTCCCTCTCACCGCCCCAGCCTCCTCACCCGCCCCTCCCGCCTCCTGCCCGGCAGGCCGCTGCGCCCCCATGAAGAGCATCTCCAGCAGCCTTAAGGAGACCATGAACCCGCACGACATTGTGCAGGACGCCATCCACAACTTCTCCCCTGCCTACCAGCAGTACACGCAGCAGTCCACCCTGGAGCCCGGGCCCACCTGGCGTGGTGGTGCCCATGGCCTCTCCCGATCTCACAGCCTCAGTGGTGCCCGAGACAACGAGAAGACTCTGCTGCTCAGCTCTGACGATGAGTTCTAGGTGCAGGCTGCGGTGGCGGAAGTGCCGGGCCGTAGCCACGGTCAGGCTGTGCCCCCCTCCAGCCTCACCACCAGGCCAGAAGTCAGTTGGCACAGCGCTCATGCCGCCCTTTATTTATTGGACCAGAAACACACACGTCGCTTCCAGAGGAATGGGGGACAGCCAGGCTCATCCACGGGCCTTCAGGAATATTTATACCTGGCCCACCCTGCACTGCCCGGGCGAGGGCAGAGGACACTGGGAGCAAGGCTCAGGTCCCTGCTGCTCATTCTGTGCTGGGGGCACCGCAGGACCAGCCACACCCAGGCCCCATTGCTTGTGTGTGGACCAGCAGCTGCAGCCTTCTAGCCCCTCCTCCCCGTAAGAGTCTCAGGCTGAGGTCGGCAAACCTTGGTTCCCCCACACCGTGCAATACTCTGTCTGCCCTGGGCTCTTCCCGCCTGCTTCCCTTCCCATCCACCTTTGTCCAGTGCTAGAGTCACTTCATCCCGGGCGGGAGCGGGGATGTGGCCGTTCTATGGTCCTCCCCTCCTGACCCAGGCCTCCCTGGCATGCTGCAAGGATCCGAGCCAGACACCAGGAGAAACAGGCCTCACCCAGGAAGGGCATTCAGGGGCTTCTGGGCACCGCTTCTGTTGAAGCAGAGGCCCCTGGGTGTCCCCACTCGTCGTGGCCACACCTCTGTCTGCCTCAGGTTCCTTCCCCCTGGCCTACCAAGGACAGCCCACAGTGAGCACCACTGGCTCACTTGGGTCCTTGAGAGTTTTGGGCAGAGCCCTTGTTTCCTGGCTGCTCCAGAGGTCAGGGGCTCCCAGCCCTCCTTCCCAGGCTGATGCTGAGTTCTGGTCTCTCCCTGGGGCTTCTCCCTCTTGTTTCAGGGGAAAGATCTGAGTCTCCTCGTTTCAGACCAGCTTCCGGAGGAAGGTAGTGCGGCAGAGAGGCCGGAAGGGGTGGCTGCACGGTGGGGAACTGGGAGGTGGGGGGAGTGACCCCAGACTTCCCTCCGGGGCCCCCATCCACACAGGGCCTGGTGTTCTGCCCCATCCGGCCCCTGGCCCATCTCTTCTGTGCCTTAGTCACATATGAAAGCGCCCTTCCCTGGCTCCCTGTCTGTCCCACACGCTCCCTGGGGCTCCTAGTTCAGCTGTTAGCGCTCACCGGGTCCTGCAGTGCTGGGCAGAACCCTCGGACAGGCCTCAAGAGTGGTCAGGACCACCAAGCTCCTCTCCCCTCCACACCTCTAGACCTGGGGCCTCCGGAGCCGGAGCCCCCAGCAAGCTGGGCTTATACCAGCTCCTGACTTGGGAAGAGCCTCCTGTCCTGGCATTTAAAACCCAGATTATCCCTGGGTTTTGGCCACAGTCGCCTCGAGAGGCCAGTAGGGTGAGGGAGAAGGACCCTGCCCGTGTTCACTGGGGATTCTTCTGGTCCTTCCGGGAATGAACAGGCTCCCTTCCTGCCATCTGTGAGGAGAGTCAGGGCCCGGCCGTCTTCCTGGCCTCCTTCCTTCCTTCGTGGCAGAGGTTTGCATGTGGATGCTGGCCGCCAACTCTCCCCCTCCATCTGGGGGGCCCTGACCAGTTGGCCCCAAGCTGCCCGGGAGGGTGGGTGCAGACACAGGCTGAGGGACAGCCCCGGCCCTGCCCCACCGTCCGCTCTCACCGAGCTGTCTCTCCAAGGCGGCTTCCCTTCTCCCTCCAGGCCAAAGTGCTGCTGACTCTCACTCCCTTGGTCTTCGTCTGCCCCAGTGTTGCTGTCCTCATGGAGGGTAGGGATGAGGAGAGCTCGGTGGCAGGGGATCAGCGGTCCCTGGGGACATGGGGATGGGAACATGTGCCCGACCGCTCCATTCCCTCCTTCCTAGGATGCATAACCTACCTTGTCTTTTTTTTTTTTTTTTTAAATTTTCTTTCCAGATAGAGTAGCTCTTTGTACATAAAAAATACTTGAAAAATTAATTGTATGATGTATGAGAAGACAGAGTCCCCTAGTTTTGTATCTCGTTGTATGACTGCCATGAGATCCACCAGAAAGCCACTCTATTTTGGTCTCTGTGACATTTTAAATGCGTGACAGAAGTGAGCAAATAAAGTGAGGAAGAAATATATATATGAGATAATATATATTGTATTGAAATCTCTGCCTGTGGGTGAGGTTTTTCCTTCCTCTACCCTGCCCCCTGTCTAGGGTTTGGGGTGGGTGGAGTGGCTTTGGGCAGGGGTGGCTTAGGAAACCCTCTCCTTCCTGTGTAACCTCTAAGTGATGGGGATTTGGATTGACAGGGACTGAGGTCAAGGCCCAGGCCCCCCTTGGACAAAGGGTCTCCCCAACCCCTAGCCAGCTGCCACCCCAGGACAGCTTGGCACAGGCGGCTGATGCTCCTTTCCTGTTTGATCAGTCAAGTCGATGGGGCCCACACGCCAGCAGCCCGGCTCCTGCAGGCATCTCCCAGGATTTCCTGGGATTCCCCTTCCAGACGATCTTCCTGCCTCCCTGGGACTGTCCTCTGGCTGGGGAGCCTGGGGCAGGGGGCTGCTGGCCGTGGGCACAGTGCCTGGCCTCTCCGGTACCGCATGCCCTCTCCGGGCCTAGCCTGCTGCTGACGGGAGCACTCAGGAATGCAGTGTGGGTGGGGGAATTCCCGTCAGCCTCCAGAGGGAGGTAAATAGCCTGAGTCCTCCCGCAGCTTCCTGCTGCCCTTCCCGAAGGCCTGAGCTCAGCATTTCAGGGTCACAGGCTTGGCAGGGAAAGCACCAAGCCCCAACCTGAGAAAGGGAGACAGCCCCGTGGATAAGGCTGACACTATGCGATTTGGCCCTTTCCCGGACTCAAATCCTGCACTTTCACCCAACTGGTCCCTGGCCCTGCCGGCCCCATACCCAGCCACACAGTTGGCGTCACCTAGGCCTGTGCCACCGTAAATGTGTGTTCTGAGTGTTAAAACTCACAGCCCCACAGGCCCCCAGGGTTTTTCATGCCTATGCCCCATAGCACCTTCATTTTACAGATGGGTAAACTGAGGCTGTAAGAAACTAAGTACCAAAGATCCCACGGCTAAGTAAAGACATCTAGGCTGGGTGCGGTGGCTCACACTTTCAATCCCAGCACTTTGGGAGGCTGAGGCAGGCAGATCATAAGGTCAGGAGATGGAGACCATCCTGGCCAACGTAGTGAAACGCCCTCTCTACTAAAATACAAAAATTTAGCCGGACTTGGTGGCACGAGCCTGTAGTCCCAGCTACTCAGGAGGCAGAGGCAGGGGAATTGCTTGAACCTGGGAGGCGGAAGTTGCAGTGAGCTGAGATTACACCATTGCACTCCAGCCTGGTGACGGAGTAAGAGTCCGTCAGAAAGAAAAAAGAGAGAAAGACAAGACACCTGGATTCAAACCCCAGTTGCCGTGACACACAGACCACGATACACTTCACTCCTCCTTCAGGGTGCCCCAGAAGGGCTGGCAGATTGGGTTCAAATTAGTTAGTTTGAGGGCTAGGACAAGACACACGGTGATGGTTTAGGCCTGCAGATAGGGGCTGGGAAAGCGACTCTCCTTGCCTCCCTGGGTCTTCCAAAACATGGGGAAGGTAGTTTCTACTTGCTGTAGAAAGTCAGACCTCAGTGTGAAAGTGCTGGAAAGATTACTCCGAAATTTTTTTTTTTTTTTTCTTCCTCTCTGGGTGGGACTGTCTGCTCACTAAAGGGATGTCCAGGGAATTTAACCCTAAATTTCTTTCTTTTTTTTTTTTTTGAAGTCTCCCTTTGTCACCCAGGCTGGAGTGCATTGGCGTGATCTCGGCTCACTGCAACCTCCGCCTCCTGGGTTCAAGCGATTCTCCTGCCTCAGCCTCCCAAGTAGCTGGGACTACAGGCACATGCCACCAGACAACGGCTGATTTTTGTATTTTTAATAGAGATGGGGTTTCACCATGTTAGCCAGGCTGGTCTTGAACTCCTGACCTCAGGTGATCCACCCACCTCAGCTTCCCAAAGTGCTGGGATTACAGGTGTGAGCCACTGCGCCCAGCAAACTTCTTTCTTTTGAGACAGGGACTCTGTCAGCTGGCATGCACAGTGGTACAGTCATAGCTCATCGAAGCCTTGGGCTCCTGGGCTCAATTACACCAACATGCCTGGCTAATTGTTTTCTTATTTTGTTTTAGAGATGGAGTCTTGCTCTGTCACCCAGACTGGAGTTCAGTGGCGTGATCTTGGCTTGCTGCCTCCCGAGTAGAGGTTGCTCTGCTTCCCAGGTTCAAGCAATCCTCCTGCCTCAGCCTCCTGAGTAGCTGGGACTACAAACATGTGCCACCATATTCAGCTAATTATTTTTGTATTTTTAATAGAGACAGGGTTTCACCATGTTGATCAGGCTGTTCTCAAACTCCTGACCTCAAATGATCCGCCTGCCTCGGCCTCCCAAAGTGCTAGGATTACAGGTGTGAGCCAGCTCGCCTGGACTGTTTTCTTATTTTTTAATTTTTTGTAGAGATGGGGGTCTTGCTATGTTGCCCAGGCTGGTCTCAGACTCCTGGCCTCAAGTGATCCTCCCATCTCAGCTTCTCCAGTAGCTGGAACAACAGACACGTGTACCACCACACGTGGCTAATTATGTTTTTGGAGAGATGGGGTCTTACTATGTTGCCCAGGTTGGTCCTGGACTCCTGGTCTCAAATGATCCTCTTGCTTCAGTCTCCCAAAGTGCTGGAACTACAGGTTGTGAGCCACCATGCTCAGCCAGAATCTAGCCCTAAATTTCATCATGATCATGGCTTTGTCGTCCCTAGCAGCTCCTGGGCTCTAAGCAACCAAAAAGGAAGCATCGAAGTTTCGGCACCACTGTTCTCTGTTGCCGCCTCCACCCCACCTCATGCCCTGTGCAACAGCTGGAGATGGGCACTGGCCTCCTACCACCAGAGGCCCCAAGGGGTTGAAAGCAGAACTCCATCTTAGACACCCCTCCCAACAAAAAGCCCAGGACACACACTTATTCTCTGTGGAAAAGGAATTAGACTTTATTTAGAAAGTCTACAAAATACAGAAGGCGATAACTCGCTTGCTGTAAGTCGGGAAATAAATAAATTCTAGGAGCCGGGCAATTTTTTTTTTTAACTTTTTTTTTTTTTTTTTTTTTTTTTTTTTTGAGACAGGGTTTTGCTGTGTTGTCCAGGCTGGAGTGCAGTGGTGCGATCTTAGCTCACTACTACCTCTGCCTTCTTAAGCGATCCTCCTGCCTCAGCCTCCCAAGTGGCTGGGACTACAGACGTGAGCTGCCACGCCCAGCTAATTTTTGTATTTTTTGTAGAGGCAGGGTTTCACCATGTTGTCCATGCTGGTCTCAGACTCCTGAACTCAAGCGATCCACCCTCCTTGGCCTCCCAAGGTGCTGGAATTACAGGCATGAGCCACCAAGCCCGGCTTAAACATTTTTTTTTTTTTTTTTTGGCTGCTATCCGGCTTTCCCTAAATATAAGATAAAATGTGATTTATTGCAGATATAAAATATAAAGTCCAGCTCATATGCCACTTTTCCCAGGGAGCAGGAGCTCAGGCTCTGGCTGGGGAGAATAACTTAGATCCGTGCAATAAATAAACAGTGGGGAGGGGCAGTGTGGACAGTATGGGAGGGAGGGAGGGACTAAGGCTGGGGTTCCCAGGAGAGTGACAGTCAAAGGCAGGGGTCAGCCCCTACCCCACAGTGGGCACTGACGGGTCAAGCTGGGACCCTTATTCTAAGGACCCCACTCCAGGCTGTAATCGGACTGCAGGGTCTGTCTTCTTGCCTCCCCACTTGCCACAGCAGTCCATGGCTCCTTTACTCTGTCTGGCCAGCCCCAGGACATCCTGGCTGCAGGGACAGGCTAGGGCTGAGCCAGGCCAGCTCCTTCCCACTCTTCCATCCCTGTCACCTTCTCTCTCCCTCTGCTTCTCTCCCCCTCTCTTGCAGAGAGAGGTCTCCCAGGCCAGGGAGGCCCTCCCATCACCTTTCTGAGCCCCTGTCCTCTGTCCCCCTTAAAACCATGGCTGGAATCTTAGGGCAGCAGTAAGGAAACCCAAGTTTTGGTCCCGGCACAATCGCTAAGTGATACATGACCTCGGGCCATCTGCGAACTGGGTTTCACTAGCCTTCCTACCCACGCTCTTAGTTTTGGAAGGCCAGGCCCAAAGCAGAGGTGGGGGCATCTCTTCGGTGTAATTTCTCACCAGGACGGCCCCACAAGTCACAGACAGCCAAATCTAGCTCGGAATCCTGGGAGGGTTTGGAGGGCATACTGGCACAGCCAGAGCAGTTTCCAAGATACGGGGTGCCCTTTTCTCCCCCAACAGCTGTTCTCTAAGCCGGCTCCGCTCCGTATCCTCTCAATTTAAAAAGGCTAAACTTTCAGCCAAGGGCGATCCCAGATCCCGAGCTCTGCCCCATCCCCAACCTACCGAAGTTCCCCTTCCCAGAGCCATTCGGTCCCAGTTTTGGGGGGCTGCAAGAGGAAGACAGGGCCCAGGGAGGGAATGTGTGTGCCCCAAGGGGCCAGTGCTACAGAGAAATGGGACCTGGGCACAGAGCCGGCGCTCAGGCACTTTGGGGAGGGAGCTGGGGGGGAGGGGCGTGGCTGGGGAGGTGGAGGGGGCAGGCACTAGGAGCAGGAGGCCGGGCCGGGAACGGGGTCCGGACCGGGGGCGGGGCCAGACCCCGATCCCGGGTTGGACTTAACGATAGTGATGACGCTGGCCGGCGCCACGAGCGTGGCGGTCCCCCGGGCGGCGGCCACCGAGCGCGCGAAGCCCTGCAGCGCCTCGCACTTGCCGCGCAACGCGTCGAGCTCCAGGCGCATGGCGGCGTTCTCTCGTGCCAGCTTGTCTACCTCGCGCTCCAGCTCTGACTTCTGCTTCTGCAGCTCCTCCTTCTGGCACACGCGCTTCACGCGGCAGCTGGCGGCATAGCCGCGGTTTTTCAGTGTGCGGCGCCGCTGCTTGAGCCGTGTCACCTCCTCCGCCGAGAGCCCGCGCAGGTGCCGGTTCAGCTCGCGCACCGACAGCCCCATCAGCGCCTCGTCCGACAGGTGCGGCGTGTTCTCGCTCAGCTCGCGCTTGATCTGCAGGTAAAGGGAAACTCAGGCCCAGGGACTGGGGACGGCCCCCCCGCCC